GACCACCCCTTACCTGTTCCTGATCTCTTTCAGCAACGACGTGTCTTTGTCATAGCCAAACTCTCCTCCAGCTGGACGAGGGACGTTCATGATGTCGGCGTGGGTGGCCACCAGGACAACTCGGAGTGGGTTCTTCAGCTTGCCACCAAAGGCTTGAGGGCAGAGAGAGCATCAGTTCAGGAGGTGAGTCCCCTACCTGGCTGAGTTGGCTCCCAGGCTGAGGCGGGCCACCTTGGCCTCATGCTCAGGTGGCCTCCCCATGTGGATGTGCAACCTGCCCGCAGAGAGAGGGTGCTGTGTGCGGCTTGGCCCCTGCCCTGCTGACGACAGGCAGAGCCCGTTTGTAAGTTGGTGCCATCTGAAACTAAACCTCTGAAGGCTGAGCTTCAAGGAAAGTTGCTGAGAAGTGGACTAAAACCAGACCGTAGAACAAAAAGTAGCTTCCCCCACATCTTCTCCAAATAGCCCTGCTTGCCTGTCAAGCGAAGATGTAGCCATTGACAAGGTGGACACCATTTACCAGCCCTGAACGCAGCAACGCATTGAAAATGGCTCAGAAGGGGAACAGCCTGCGAGCCACAAAGTCACAGAGTCTCACATTTATGGCAACGTCTAAAAAAGGTGAGAAAGAAGGAAAAAGACAGAGGCAAATGGCAGTAGACTGATGAGGATTAAGCCCAATGTATGTTATTAGCTATATGTTTTGCTAGGAAATTTGACTGTTGAGTATTCTATTTCACCAGGGAAGGCTGCTTCTTTAGTTGTATGAAAAGACCAAAAGAAATTTATTCTGTGTTAGCCTGTCCTCTAAGAATAAAGTTAAGATAATTTAGTTAGCCAATATGGTCATTTCTGCAAAACATCTGCTTTTCTTCTCTTCTTGATGGAACAGCAGGATGAAGGAGAATTTATTTTTTATTGTTAATTATATTAATCATGCACTCTTTAGGTAAAGAGGTGTGTGTGTGCGTGTGTGTTAGCTATACTGAGTCAGCCCCCGACTCACGGTGATCCCATGCACAATGGAATAAAAGGTTGCCTGGTCCTGCGCCATCTTCATGATTGGTTTCAGATCAGATTGTTGTGATCCCTAGGGTTTTCACTGGCTGATTTTTGGAGGTAGATTGCCAGGCCTTTCTTCCTAGTCCATCTTAGTCTGGAAGCTCCACTGAAACTTGTTCAGCATCAGAGCAACACGCAAGCCTTCAGGGACAGATTGGTGGTGGCTGCACATGAGGTGCGTTGGCTGGGAATTGAACGTGGGTCTCCTGCATGGAAGGCGAAAATTCTACCATTGAACCACCAGTGCCTGCCCTCAGGTAAAGTGCCTGTAGTAGTTATTAACGGAAGTACTCTACTTGCACCCAACAACAACCACCATGGCTCTAAGGCTTAGAAAGAAAGTGAGAAATTACTATCAAAAGATTGCTTAGA